GATATGTATGCCCCTGAGAGGTCTCTTCGTCAACGCGACTTTCTGTTTTTGGAACCACGGAGCCGGAATTATTCACAACACAGCCGATTCGAGCAATCAGCCGGCAATTCAACAACTTTTTTTATATTTTCGACTTCAATGTATCAGCTGACGTGTTTCGTCATCGGCTGCTTGGCCTTTTCCGTACCGTTGACCGTAACTATTTAGTTTATGTTTAATTCATTTCAATAAACAATAAACAATCAATAAAATCTTTGTTCGCCGATAACACAGGCATTTCCGCTAAAGGACTTCTTCCTGTTCGTGTTATTTGCAGCAGACTGCAAAAAAAATATTGTTCGTACAGGCGACTACTACCATAGAGGTAACTCTAAGACTAGAACGTCCCGAAATAACGTGCTCAACTTTTTGGCTCAGCTCTGGTACTCTCTTCGGTCCCAAGCTAATCGATTCACCCCTCGAAACATAGGAAAAACCAATAACCCCTCATTTTACCTGTCAAACTTTCATAGCGAATCAAAACAAACATTGCGCAGTACTGGAATTTTGACTAGAATGGGGTACGTTAATCGTTTGCTTGGGACCAATAGGCTAGTCAAGTAGTGAGCCAATTTAAAATCGTTAGTTTCGTATTGATTGTTGCTACTACTGCCTCTACCCTTAACATAAAATAGGTACTGTGCCTACCCATAGATGTCACCACTTGTCCCCGTATCATTGTTATAGCTTATTATGTACTGTTCTTGTTATGTTACAGTAAATAAACGTCGGTAGTATTTTTACCTCCGCCATTCATTTATTTATTTATTTATTTATTTATTTATTTGTCGTCAATCAGTGTAGACCATGGCAGGACGGTCAGTAAATTGATCGTAAATCATTATTTTCAACTATCACACAACGTACAAATTGGGTCCTATCCGTGCGCGATCAGTTATATTTAGATGGTGTTGTCACTGATGAAGTCTGCAAGTAGTATACGAAATACGCGTATCTGTCAAAAAATAAGCAATTATAACGGAATTAAAAGGAAATAACCCAACACACTCAAACTGCCGGTAATCGCAAGTCAGTCCCATCTGCATTTTTATCAATTTTGAGTTAACATCATTTTTCAGTTTATCTTTCTATGCTTTTTTAGATGTGCTATTGAAAAAAGGTGGTTTGTTCAAGAAAATCGAAAAACAATACCAAGTCAAACTGTCCCACAGCGAAAAGTAACCGCAAGTCAGTCCCATTAGGAAAAAATGATTTAATTAAATAAACTATACAACAACGTCACAGATATGTTTTTTGTTTTTAGGATTGCTTCTATATAATTAAAATTGTTAGACAACACATCGCATCACGAGATTTGTCTCAAGACAGATTTTGTTCACGTTCCTTAGGGTATCTAGAACATGTCCGGATGTGGCCAATATACACTGATAGGCAAAATAAAGTGCCCACCCCATCATTTTTGAAATTTCTCTCATTTATTTGGTTCAAATTCAAATAAACACACCGTAGTCTGTTTCGATGTCTTACCTTTATTATTCTTTTAAAGTTACACCTATGGAATACTGAAAATATAAAGTTTTACTTGAAGTAAAAGAAAATCAATTTGGATTGAAAAAGAAAACAGTGACAAAAAAAAGTGCCCACTTCAAAAATCGGTATGTTTTCGATAAGTTTCCATCGGAAAACCCCTCGATTGTTTTTGTTTTGAAAGTTTGACATGTATTGAAGCAAACGGGTGGAACTGGTGCATTTGTACACGTGATCGCATTTGAATCAGTTGAAAAAAATGGAGGACGTAGTGATTTCGAAAGCAATTCCCGTGTGTATCCGAAAATTGGTTGTTCGTGATGTGCAAAACGGTGAATCGCACCGGTCTGTCGCTAGGAAGTACAATATCAGCAAAACAGCGGTCGGGAAAATTCTGCAGAAAATGAAATCGTTCGGATCAGTGGTGGATCGCCCTGGCAGAGGCAGGATGCGCAAAACGGATGCGAGAACGGACACCAAGATCATGCGTGAAGTGAAGAAGAACCCGAAGGTAACTGTCCGCGAGATCCAGGAGGCTCTTCAGCTAACAGTTTCCAGTCGAACTGTTCGTCGCCGTCTCGTAGCACAGGGGTTGAACAGCAAAGTTGCTCGGAAGCGCCCATTTATCAGCAAGGCAAACAAAGTCAAACGGCTTAAGTTTGCTAAGGAGCATGCTGATAAGCCCCTAGAGTTCTGGAAAACGGTTCTCTGGACGGACGAATCAAAATTCGAACTGTTCAACCGGAAGCGACGGGTTCGTGTGTGGTGTAGATCGGGTGAGGAGCTTCAGGAGCGCCACATACAAGGCACGGTGAAGCATGGAGGAGGAAATGTGATGGTCTGGGGGTGCTTTTCGTGGGGTGGAGTGGGAAGCCTGGTGAAAATCGACGGGATAATGACGGCAGATTCCTACATCGACATCCTGCGGGAAAATCTGGAAGTTTCGCTGATCCAGACGGGCCTTGAGGAGAAATTCGTATTCCAGCAGGACAACGATCCGAAGCATACTGCCAAGAAGACTAAGTCTTTCTTCCGGTCATGTCGAATTAAACCACTGGAATGGCCTCCACAAAGCCCGGACCTCAACCCCATCGAGAATTTGTGGGCGATTCTCGATGCCAGGGTTGACAAAACTGGTGTTACCAATAAAAATAACTATTTTGAAGCCCTGGAGCGCGCCTGGGAAGAACTAGATCCACAGCACCTGAAGAATCTAGTGGAGAGCATGCCGAAGCGCCTGCAGCTGGTCCTGAAGGCCAAAGGAGGACACATTAACTATTAGGCTGGTATTCTTTTACTTTATTTTATGTTTTCTGGAGTTAAAATGCAGTGGGCACTTTTTTTTGTCACTGTTCTTTTTTACACCCATTTTGATTTTTTTTTCTTCGAGTCAGTCTCTTCTTTTTATCTGGTATTCTATAAGTGAAACTTAAAAAGAATATAAAGAATAAGATATAAAAAATACTACAGTGTATTTACTTTAATTTGAACCAAATAAATGAGAGAAATTCAAAAAATGGTGGGGTGGGCACTTTATTTTGCCTATCAGTGTAGTTCTTACGATACTCAGTTTGAACGCCAATGGATATGGCTTTGAATTCTCATGTGATTTGATGTATCGCTTGGTAGATTTTGATTTAAAAAGGATTTACCACTTCCCCGGGAATACCGCTCTAATAAACGGGTACCATACACTAACGATATCATAGATGGTGCGACCATACCACATGAAGTTTGGATGATATCCCCAATTGGTTGTTCGGCGCTTCTTATGGTTATTGTTTATGCGGGCCGTAACATGTCAGGGTGAGGCCAACATGGTGCTGGTCACTCATCATGACTCTTATTTATCTTATTTTCGAATTCTCATGTGAATTGATTTATCGCATGGTGGTACGTTTGGCTCTTGTCTAATGAAGACCCATACTCACCGGAATATGTTCCGGTCATTGCTCTGGAACCAGCGGAACAAATCCAGAAACATACAATAACATTCTATGGGACCATGGTATCTTTCTTCTGTTCAATACTGTGCTAAACTAATACAGCATCGTCATGAAATTGTGACTGACTAGCGGTTATTTTTCTCATTGACGTTAAATGTAATCGCAAGTCAGTCCCACTCAGATTTTGGCCATAAAATAAAAATTTCATAAAAATTTTATCCAATATTTTTTGGTAAATATAGATGCATTCTATCACATTGTACGTTTATTTATAAATTTATCCCTCTAAAATAAGTGTCAAATCAGAAAACTTGTAAAATCTTTGAACGCTGTTTTCTCATTTCCAGGTTTTTACAGATGGGACTGACTTGCGATTATGGGCAGCAAAGCTCTTCATAAAGGGATTCCGTTAAGAGGTTCGACAAATTTTAAAGATTTATATTTAGATAAAATTTAGTGATGATGTCAGACACAGATTAGATCTCAGACGTTTCAGGTTGATGCTGCGAACGTGGCAATGAAAATCTTCGAGGTTAGTACTAGCGCCGCCGGATGCGACAACATTCCTATCTCTTTCGTTACAATGCTATGTCCCTTCATCCTACCACTGTTAGTGAACTTGCTTAACGCAATAATTGATGCAAGAAGCTTCTCCGCTGTCTGGAAAAGAGCTATCGTCACACCACTGCCTAAGACATCCAACACATCCGAAACGAAAGATTTTAGGCACATCAGCGTGCTACCGGCAATCTCGAAGGTTCTGGAGAAGATTCTTCCTGGCCAGATCACAGGTTTCTTACAAGCAACCGACCCTCATCTTCTCGCCAAACATCAGCCCGACTACAGAGCACTCCATAGTACCACAACTGCAATTACGAATGTTGTACATGATATTTACAACAACTTCTATAACAACTTTTGTACTGTGCTTGGATCCTGTGATTCCTTGGGAACAGGAGCCAGGTTGTTAGTCATGGAAATGGAATATCCGCAGATAGAATTCTCTTCGATGGTGCTCCCCAAGGATCGTGTCTCAACGCACTATTGTTCAGCATGTATATCAACAGCCTTCCTTCCAGGCTCAAATGTGAATACCACTTGTACGCTGACGACCTTCAGATTTACATATCTGGTCCTATCGAAGATGTGGATAGGTTGGTGCACACAATCAACGACGATCTGGTGCCAATAGCTAACTGGGCAGTGTAGAACAGACTAAGGAAAACGGAGGCGATAATATTCTGCAAAAACGGCCAGATAATTCCGAGAGATGACATTATATTCTACGGTGAAACGATTGCCCTCAGCGCCAAGGTCCTCAATCTAAGCCTGAAATCGGACAACAACTTGAGATGGAAAAAGCAGGTCAACGACAACGATAGGATCTTTTGAAATGTTTATCTAGATGGGCGGAATTTATTAGGAGAAAGACTACCAACCCCACAAATTATGCGCTAAAGTTACTCACATTGGACATTCGGATGAACTCAGTTCGTATTTCTGATCATCTTAACTCTATATTTTCACAAAAAAAATAGTAAGGTAATAATTCTCTCCCGATTCCACGGACACGTGGAAACAGAGATAGCTTTCAGAAATCACTTACCTCTTCCTTCCGGCAATAAATCAATTTCTTCAATTAGCATCGTCACTATCACCGAAATCACTCTGCTCGGTATCGCTGGCCTTTTCCAGATCCTGCTCCATCTCTTCGTCGCTACCTACTTCTTGCGCATTGCCGGACACCGCAGCTGCCACTGTACCTTCCTCTTTGTCCATTGTTGCCTTTCTCTTCGCACTCTTTGGCTTCCGTTTCTCAAATGCCATACGAACCAGATTGCCCGCTTGGAACTTGTACTTGTCCTGGGTGGCCTCGAGCAGCTGTTCGTTCATCTTCTTCTCAAAGCGTTCCCGTGGTCCAGTAATCTTCGGCACCGGCACCAAGTTTGGATCGATTTTACTCACATACAGAGGGAACGTCAGCTGGATATCAACCATCGGTTTCAGATAGATGGTCCGGATGTTTTGCCACCCTCCGGGGTATTGATTTTTCAAGACCTGCAGCAGAGATTCAGCATTCTCAACCGCTTTGTCCAATGGCATTTTATGTGTGGCAAACTGAATTTCCGTCACCCTTCCCGTGTTGGTTTGCTTGTACGTGAACCGACCAAGAGCTTTTTCTATACTTTTGACAATCTTCTCATCCTTCTCCAGAATCACCGGCGTAGGGTTCTTACACCGTCGGATAAAGTTATTTCCAAGGAAGTTGAAAACATGACCATTTATTCGGGCATCCACCAGAAATCGATCGAACCGATGAACCAGCTTGAGTTTCATTTCGTACTCTTTGTAGTCCTGTTTGAGTTGACGGAACGGAATAACCTGGGTAATGTAGTCGATTCCAAGCTCACGCAATTTCTCCTTCCAGAAGGTTAAAGTTTCCTCATGATCCTGCTTTCGACCACGTTCCAAATCCTTCACAATCATGCAGATGTCGTCACCTTTTTGATAAATTGGATTCGGAAGTTGGCTGCAAATAAAACAAATATTGAACTTTTACCATAAAAAAAATAAGCACACATTAAACTTACACTCTGCAGTTTCTGCTGGGTACATCTGGGATCTTAACCGCGGCGATTTGCAACCCGTACTTCAAATCCTCTCCGAAGAGGTTCTTTTTCTGATCGAATCCTTCATCCAGTGATTTCTTACATGCCTTCAAGGCAGTTGTAATTGTTTTCTTGCTGATCAAAGTTTCTTCGACTTCATTTTCCTTTTGATCGTTCCGTGCATTCTTGGACTGTAATTAATAAATTATTTATTATTTAAAACAATTGAGTTAAAAACATCCAATAATTCCTACCTTCTTCTTCCACTTTCTCTTCCTTTTGGTCTTCTCTGACGATGCATCCTTCTGGTCGGAATCGGCCACCTTTTTTGCAACTTCCTTTTGCTTGTTAGCCTTCAAATCCTTTTTCTTCTGTGGAACTTTCTGTCCTGCCGTGGCTTGCACTTTCGCCGTCTTCACTGACTCTACTAACTGCTGCTTTTGATTTTTCTTTTTGACCGCCAGCACTTTCTTTTCGGCAAACGTGTGCGGAGTGACGGCAGCGGCCAACGCGCCACCAGTTTTCTTCTCTTTCGGCTTTGCTATGTCATTTTTGGACTTTTTCAACTTGTGCAACTTAACGTCCGCTGGTTTTGCCTTCTTTTCCGCTTTGATTTTCATGATATAAACGAAAAAAACCAACTATTTTCAATAAATTTTTAACAAGAAATACGAATGCACGTGTTTACTGGAGATTGAATCGCGAATCAAAACAACATGCTCGTTTTGAACATGAGCGTTTTCCGAAATTGACAGCAGCAGCAGCACTAACCGGTTCAGCAGGGTTGAAATTCAAGCTGGGAACATTTAAATGTCCCAGTGGAAAAAAAATGCATAAGTGCTAGTCCAAGATGAGTTAAGGTGATATAGAGCGTCCACAAATCAACGGCAGGATGGTTGACTTGCACTTCCACTTAATTTTGTAGGAAGTAAATCTCGGGCACTATTGCAATCCCTAATAAAAATTGTATGGTTAATTTGCTTAACGACGTGTTCTGGATATCATCCAAACCATTTATTTAATAGTTCAATGATTTGGGTTATAGTTCGTTTATGGTTATTTTTTATTAGGGATTTCATGCATGAAATTTACTTTACCAAATTTACTGTTTGTATATTTATGGAAGTCAAGGGTTTGTTTTTTCGTAGCTGATATTAAACACTACGAGACAATGTGAAGTGGCATCAGAGCAAAGGTTTCCAGACCGTTTAGGGTTTCTACCAAGTTTGGAAGATGATCGGTAATAAAAAATTACAACATTTTATTCGAAATTATCATTTAATTTTGTGTTATACTACGTTCACATTACAGCCTACACTCAAAATAATCGACACGTTGAAGCTACGTGAAAAATCACTTAGGCTCTCAGTTTTTCCTCACCTCTCCGTTTTACGATAACCACGTAGAATATACGTGATACCCCTTGAATATCCAAGGGAATCCCGATGAAACACACTTACATTTTTAATATAATTTACGTGTATTTCACATACAATGTTTGCGTTTCACGTAAACCTTATGTGAGTTCTACGTCTGAAAAAAAGAGTGGTACACTCAAAGTAGTGCAAAGTATGTTGGCATCATGATGTGCTTGTATCTGTTATTTTTGTAATAATTGCAAGATATAAGCATACATCTAGGATTATTTTTTTTAATATCATACGTACCTATACTGGTTTCTTTATTATGTTCAATAGAAAGGCAGCAAGTTATCCGGCAGTTCTTCTGCGAAGAAAACACGTTCTATCCTCATGCTCGTCGTCTCAATAACCAGGATTGTTTGTGTTCCTCATCAGATTTTATAAACATTTCTTATGTTGTGTTTTTGAATGTATCAATAAATAATGGAATGTTGGTGTGGTTGGGAATGGTGTTCAGAATAGATTTTGTCTTTTGTAGAAATATTTTTGTAAATTTTATTTATCGAAAATTACAGGGAAAATTATGATTATTAACCAGTTAACGCCATCAATAAATCACGTAACTTCTACGTGATAATCCTGTGACGAGTAGGCTTAATGAAATGAGTGTCCTTACATGTCAATCACGTAGCTCTTACGTGAAAATTACGATGGATAATATCTAGGCAGGGGGTAATTCCTGGCACCACTTCCAAGAATGTTTACATCATATGTTGTTTATAATAGACCAATCCATGATCTGATTTTATCATTCATTTTTGACAGTATGATCTGCTTTTTATTGATCTGAACCTCTCAAATGAGTATACAAACCAAACTAACCTGCCAAATTATTTAGAACGCTTGGTTTATTTATGTGACCCAGGATATCAGCGCTTTTTTTGGCTGTAGGTTTTTATATAGCTTATTACCCTACTTACCTACTTATTTCCTGGGTTGTTTTTAAAATTTGTAAATTTATTTTCGCGATATTGTTACAGTTCATCATGGACGAGGTAAGTTTTTATTTAGCATTTTTATCTGCATTTTTAATTGTTTAGTTAACACCGAATTTTATGCAGGATTACTTCTGGCAAAAACTGGAAGGAATGTATGGAAGCATTCATACTCATATAAAAACTATATTGAGCATGAGCATCCAAACTCATGGGGTCAAGACGTTTATCTGTCCGGTGATGAAAATCGGGAAAAGTTCACATGGACAGTTCAGACACGAGTCCGCTACCGATGAGCTTGACAGACTTTGGCTCAAGATTTCGGTACATTTTTCTAATCCGTATGTCTTAATCTTAAGTAATCACATTCAATTACGTATTTAATACAATACTATATTGTATGACGTTTCTTGCATTTGTATGATTTTTTTCAGAATATATTTATTCTTCATATTTCATTACTTAAAGCTTTTTGTTTTACATATTACAAGTTTGAATTTCGTTTTGTTTTTTTAAATACTAATTTATTCTTAGGAAATATCGCCTCAACCTCCAGGAGTTTATGTCCAACTTGAAAATTTCGATCGCCACGGTTTCAAGCTCAGGACAGTTCAGAGCTGACATAACATGTCTATTGTGCACGTTGGTCGGGCAGACCACAAAGTTTAACATATTTTAATACATTGCGTTTTTAATTTCGGTTTTATGCTTTAAAAAATAAAAATTTTTAATAACCAAACCGTTTAATATTATTAAAAATAGTACCTATAATCACAAATAGCCCTAAAGACACTTTACTTAGAAACTTGCAATATGGCCCACCATATGCCTTCAGCTGAGCACCGCTGGACCTTAAAGTATTGTATGATGTATTTTCCATGACTTGATAAAAGGTTCTACCAGCAGGGTATCGTAGATTACATAATTTACAATCAAATTTGTCGATCACCCCTTTCTCTATTCCGTTGTATGGGAAATCCGTTTCGAGAGACTCGTGCCCGTAGAGAACTACCAGTCTTATACACTTAGTAGGGGGCGAAGTTTACCAGCTGTGAGCTTTCATTCGCGAGTAATCGACGTCTAAAGCCATTGTTTACAAAAGCAATTCGGCCCTTTTGAAATGTTCACACCGCATTACTCAATTACGAATTTCCGTCATTGCTAAATTTAATGCGGCATGAAATCGCCAATTCAAACTCATCCATCTTCACTTAATAGTTGTTCTCAAGGGAAGCATTGAACCAACTTCCTCCAACCAGTAGGATCCACTTTTTATTCCACTCACGGATTTTCTTTCTCAACGAATCACGAAGAATGTTCACATGGTTTCTTACGGATCTTCATCATTTTTACTCCCTAAAAAAGAGTGGAATTAACAGTACATGAACGGTGGCTCCTGGTTTACTGATAGTAAGTATCCGGTCGGCGGAAAGAGAACAGCTTCCTGTAGCGCTTGTGGTGGTATCTTTGCACCAGTGGGAAGCGGATCTTCGAGTCGTGGAACTGCTTGATGTGAGCACGACGGGTCTTGGAGGCCTCAACCGATTCGACCTTGATGATCTGTTGGGAAAACATTCGCATCAGTGATTCTTTCCGGGTCAATACTACCAAAAAGCAACTCACCTGAATGGAGTGGGCACGGTGGCGCGAAACCATATCGGTATAGCACTGCGTGACAGCACCGCCAACGGTCAGATCACGATACTCGCGGTACATGTTGTGGGTACCGGAACGGGAATCGTAGCGCAGCCAGATGCCGAAGTTCTTCACGCGCAGCGAAGTTTTCTCCAGGATACGCTTGACCGAGACAATCTCACCGGTGGCCTTCTTGAACTTACGCAGCTGCCGCAGGAGTACCAGAAACGGGACTTGGCCACGATCTGGTCCGGTGCGAAGATGTGCATCAATTCCGCCATGTATCACGCACAGACTGTCGTTTGCTTATTGGATTTTGCAGGATTTTACCATAGGAGTAAAGAGCTATAGCTGTATACAGTCACCGTCAACGCCAATAAACAACGACGATCGCAGGGGGATCTGTCATTTTCAGCGATGTGGAAGTCATGATTGCCAGTAAACATTGTATGTTGCCGCTTGACGTTTTGACAGCTCATTCGACACAGAAACACCCTGAAACACCCAAAAACACAAAAGAAACACAATCAGCACAGTCACAAGGTGGCAGAGTGACTTACCCCCTGGCCATAGACTGGTTTATCTCCGAGGTCTTTTCTTTTCTTTGATTTGTTTTCCGTCGATCTTGTTTTCCGTGCTGAGCACCACCCTAGTAAAAATAACCATAAAAGAGAGCTTAACGACATGTTCGGGGTATCATCCAAACCATTTGTGGAATAGTTTAGCCATCTGGGATACAGTTCGTGTATGGTACTTGTTTATTAGGGCAATGCTACCAACGCCAGGAAGGCAGCTCCCACCTGGACCCTACATATCGACCCATCATCGCATGAACCGGGGACCAACGGCTTCAGAGATGTTATGCCTCAGAATAGCTACTTTTAATAGCGGCATCTGGTGCAAAAATCAGCCATGCTATTATCATAGAGGTAACTCTAAGACCACTGGGTCCCGAAGAAAATCATTATTTTTTGGCTCACTCAGTACCAGAACAACAGTCCCAAGCAGTCCCAAGCTATTTCACTCACCCCTGCATGTTCTGCATGAATCCACACACCCCTGATGTTATCTGTCAAACTTTCATAGCGAATCAAAACAAACATAGTGTAGTAATAGAATTTCAACTAGAATAGGGTACGTTAATCGTTTGCTTGGGACCAATAGGCTACTAAAGTGGTGAGCCAATTTAAAATCGTTAGTTTCGTATTGATTGTTGCTATTATTCATTATTATATTAATTATAATAATATATCATTATATCAGTGCTAACATTTGAAAACGGCGCAAAAGCCATTTGTAAACAAATGGTTTGTGGGCCCTTTACTCGCTACCCGAAGAACGCCCACGCAAACCAACAGCATCGTCAGGAAGGGGAAAATTTCCCCTACCCGATGTTGCTGTTGTGTCGCGTGGGTGTACTTCAAGTAGTGAGTAAAGGGCCCACAAACCATTTGTTTACAAATGGCTTTTGTGCCGTTTTCAAATGTTAGCACTGATATTAATCATTATTGATTATTAATTGATTTACCTTTACCTCGTGGTGGACCCCTTGATGTATTTGAGATTGCAGGGCTATGTAAATGAAACGAAACGGTAGTTCAGCTCTGTATACACTGAGCATGAAACGTCATCCAAAGACAAAGCAAAATAAAAAAAAAGAATCAAAACTTTTCCGACAGCAGCTTTAGAGCTCAGTTCATTTTGAGAACCTGAGCGAAATGGTTGTAGCGGATTTGAACGATTTTTGAAGTGTTGAAGTGGTTGGTTTCCTTTTTTGTGTTTAATCGTAGTGGAAAAGATGCAACAGCAGTTTTGATCGAAAATCTGCTCAACTGATCGAAGAAATTGTGTTTTAATTGGAAAATTTAATTTGATTGCCCTGTTATAAAGCGAAAATTTGAAGAGTTCACCCACTTGTAAGAAAGACGGAGAAAACAAGGAAGTTTCGAATGCGCTGTCAGATTTCAAATTCCAAAGTTTGTTTATTTTGATTTCATCCAGCCATTCTCTAGCAATAAATAATCATTGATTTGAAACCGATTTTCCAACAGCGTGTGAAAGTTTCGTTCAAGCAGATTTAGGTTGCGATTTATGCAGTCGTGAATGTGTTGACACCACCGAAACGGAGAAAGAAAGTTGTTATTGCGAAAACCGCGATTGAAGCAAAATAATTTTGCCTCAGAAAGAGCGCTGTGTGGTGTTGGTTTGGTTGCTGTACCTTTGTGTGTGCCATTTGAGCTTGCCTCCACTCGACCGCTGTGCTGGTAGTGGCAAATAACATACGGGTAGGATTTGGAAGCAGCAGCGGCTCGACGAGCTTGGCCGCGTCACACACTAGCAACGACATCAAGGCAAAAGGAGAAGAAAAAGTGCGCGCGTGATGGTGTACGACAACAAGCATACGAAGAAAATTATTCAATAGTTTCGTCATCACAGTTCATTGAGCAAATAATATTTAAAAAAAAATCGCGTGGAACATTTTGCAGCAGTTGTGCTGTTCTGCGATCTAATAGAAGTACCTACATGCAAGAAGAGTGAGCGACCGACAGCAGCAGGAGGAGAAGCACAAGGCTGAAAAACATTCCACGAACTCGCCGGGTTTACATTTGAAGCAATTCCATTTGGGGCTGACCGAAATTTGCGCTGAGCTGGTAAGTTTTTGTTTCTTTTTGCTGATAGAGTAGATTTAACTTGAAGAACGTATTGCGTAGTCTTTACATAACGATGGTCTGATGGTTGATTGGGTTGTTGATTTACATGGTTTCCACGAAAATGAATGAAGCTGTAAGACCTTTCACCCCACACATTAGAGAGTTTTGTACATACCTTCCTACACATTCGCATCTAATTCATATGCATATAGCATGACCATCTCCCGCCTCATTCTGCTGCATTAACGATAAAACTTACCCAGAATGCGAACAGATGTTTAAAAAGCAGTTCACAAACCGCACACCTTCGACCTGTCGCCCTATAAAAAAGCAAACCCGTAATAACATTAGCCCTCAAACGGGTTCCTTCTATCCACATCTATCGAGCATTAGCAACAACAAGGGCAAAGAGATTGGGGCCGAACGAAAATAAACTCGATAACAACAGACGACGAAAGAACGAGTGAACATTTTATTTAGTTACTACACTCGGTTATAAACTCCAGGTCTGGTTAACTCGCAAAGAAAACAAAACATAATCAAAGAGAATCGTATACGAACGCGCTCTGTATGTTGTGCATGCTGTTGAACCTCCTCTATATATTCGATGCTGCTTGTTGGCTTTCTTGCTAGAGAGCGGTAAGTAAGCGGTGCAACAACCGGATCGTTGACTTTGGTTCAGGTTCTTATTACCTACCTACTGGTTATTCTGCAACGCAACACAGTCGGTCGTTATGCATCCAGATTCGACAGAGAAGTGGGTGCACCATCGTCGCCGACGTCGGCGTTTGTGGGCGATTCAGACTGAGAGATGTTTGCAACCTACCTCTCACTTTTTTGGTTTATGTAAAGAACTAAAACGACACTGTCCTTAGCGTTTGAGATACATTGAAGAGAAAATGCTTTTGAATTGCTGATAGGTAACTGGATCTGATGATAATTTTAGAAGCTTTTACAATTGTGCTGTGTCGCCTCATGCTTCCTATGTAGATCGGAGATTGATAAACAGATTTGTTTGTTTGTTTGTTTAATATGCTAAAGACCAGTTCAAAACTTCGGACAGTCTCAAGTATCTTTTTATCGGTTAAAGCTCTTATCGTTCTTCTTTCCGTATTGGCTCAGAGAGCTTCCGTGTTTGGACTGCGGATGTACAAAACTTGACCAAAAATGTTCAAGCTATCTTTATGCTTGCATTTCCGGCTTAGATAAATGTTCAGGAATTACTGGAATAACCCAGTAGGATACTAAACATAGCGTTGAAGTAGGTAAAAATAGCTGCATTGAAACCTTTCATTTTATGTTTTTTTAGGTTCTATTATCTTTATGATTTTAGAAATGCTGTATAGGAAAAGTGGCACCTAGATTCACGGAAGCTTTTTCTAATATAATTTGTGGAGACGCAAATGACAATCTACTCAATTTAAGGGAAATCGAGCTAAGAGGGAAACCTTAAGTATTGTTATTGTTTTTTCGTAAATAAATAAAGCGTTGTGATTATAATACCAGTATTCTGTGAGTTAAAGTCATACTAAAGGAAGCATTATATGCCATTTATTACAATCATTGCCATCAATACAATTGTATTATAAGAACTCAGAACCGAATTGGACACGTTCGGATATCTTTCGGATACTCTTGGTGAAGTGGGCAAGGACTAGTATGTGCCGAAATTCATAATGGGACACATCAAATCACATTAACATACAAGAACAAGATTGTTAGATGTGCCGGTATATATTTTATGGACATAGGGGAAGCTAGTCAACAGTGAGACAGATTTTGTTCAACAATTTTTCGATGAAAGCTACGAACAAGTCTTCCAGACTCCATTCGAATTATATAGGTTTCTAACTAACTCAAGTAAAGTTTCAGCCGTATTGGTTGTAATCTAATTTAGTTACGTTACAATCAGACACAAAAAAGTAAATTTTTATCTCATTGTTCCTCACTAGGCAAGAACAGTGAGACATAGAGTCTTGAACAATGAGGCACATGTTTTAGTATGACTCGAATCGAAAAATTATTATTCGAACACACCTTAAATTATATTTGAAAGGTTGTGTGGTTTATCGAATATGGGAACGATCATAAATTACGTCACGCTTTTAGGGGAAGAAAGGGGGGGGGGGGGTTAGAAACCGTAACGATCCATACAAAACACACACAAAAAACGTGACAAAGAGGGTAAGGAGACTAGAAAATTGGCCTTTTGGGTAACGTAATACTTTATACTTTTTCCCCTTCTTAATAAAAGATGTACATATCACTGGTATGTCATACTGTTCCCACAGGTATGTTTAATGAAAAAAAGTAAAATAGTTGAATTAAACAAACAATTTTATTTACATTACTTATGATTATAAAACCTTATTACTATGCTTTCATGCCTTGACGAAAACCAAATTGAAGCAATACTGCCTGGGTGGTTTAGTGATAAGAGTGACTGCTTCTCAGCCCAATGAGTCTTAGTTCAATCACAGCCGATGTCGGTGGGATTTGTCTGTGGCATAAAAATCTCTGGTCAGGAAAGTACAGCCTTTGGTCCCGGCCCATGTGTGTTGCTGGGAGCGATATCCGACGCAGGTGTGCTGGCTCCCTGCACATTCGATTATTGTCAATGAATAGCAATCGATGTCCGTCGGTGATTGGCACTAAATTGTGGAACAGAGACAGACGTTAAATAAATATCATTGAATCAAATCGGTGACGACAAATAAATAAATAAATATACGATAGTCATAAGTAAATTGAATCTAGATCAAGGGGTAGGTCACTTCGCACACCAGTCTTGGATCATCTTTTTGTCAGTGTGCCGCAGGTGTGCCGGTCATAGAGCAAGCTGCGATTGTTTGTAAAATATCCATCCCGGCAACCCGGTAGTTCTGACACCTTTTTGGTTTAAAATCGCAAGGATAAATCGGATTGAAGATGACGCGGTAAGTTGCGGGTGTGCAAAATGTTGGTGTTTTGTGTTCATAGGATAATAAAAGTCCTGTGTTTTAAGGTTCTATAATGCACCTCAAAGGTAGACCAGAAACCTAGCCTTTCGTGATATGAAAAGCAACGGTCTATCAGCGGCCGGAAAGAGTTGAAACCGGTGGGTAACATTGTTGGAGACCGACAATAGAGGATGATGAATAAACTTCTGTAGTTTTTATTGTGTGCAAATCGCGTTTATTATTTGAATTAAGGGTATCAATGGGGTCTAATTAACTGCCTCTTTCTCTTGAGCCCACTGTAGAACCACAGACAAACAGACATATCTCTTTGAATAAGATTTTCTTGAAAATATAGATCTCAAAGCATAGACCTCAGAAACGACATCTCTCGGGCTTCTCGCGTAAAACAAGCAAACAATGTTGCATGCAAGGCAGTCTTGTAAGCGGTCACGTTAGTCAACACATTTTTTGTGATAATCGACTGCCTTTACTTCCGATACTTGTAAAACAAGCTATCATAGTATCAAGACCGTCACGAATGTATGTATTTTAGTTTTTCTCATAATAAGAGTTGCTGATGTTGTGCTCCCTCCCCATGGACATGGAGGTTGACGGTACTGAAGCAAAGGGTTATGTTTAATTTCTTTATATTTGCAACGATGATGATTTCCCATAGTGACACATATCACCTTCTTAATGCTTCAGTGTACCTCAAACGATTAATTCTTGGTTGTTAATAGAACTTCCTTGATGCAATCGGCTGCTTCATGCAGACTGAGCAATTCTTATTATAGTATCAGATTTGTTCTGTATACAGAGGAACTGGGAGGACTTATTAGAAACTTCTCACCAATAAAGTAATGACCTTCTAGTAAATTTTGCATATCATTTTATTAATATTTTATTTTATTTAAGCATATTATTTTTGTTACAGTCAATTAGCATTAGCATACAATACAAGAGATTTAATATTACTTGCTCGGTTTTGCGTAAAATAATCAATATGTATTTTGCTTGTAATTACCTTTGAATTTTTTTTTTGTGATTTCAAAATTTTCCTAGTTTGGTTAGAAGTTTCGAAGCTAACACATGTCCACAGGCCTAATAGAAAGATAGACAGACAAAGCGTATCATGAAGAATAGTTGCATGCAGGGTTGCTTCCACTAACTTTCTATAGATGAGTGATTTTCGGAGTTTTGAATTCGTTAGATGTTGTAATGGAGGTTTGTGTTGTTGGATGCGGGAGGAGATTGGAGGGCGGGTGTTTGACGCATAGAGCCTGTCAATTTCGCTTTCAGAGTGTCGCAGTCAGCGGTTTTATGATTCGTGAGCGCTCGCGATTCGTAGAATCGTTGATTGTGACTGCCAGTGGATTTGGCGGGTTTTGTGTGTCAGACGCTTGCTTTTTGGCCTTTTCTTGTGTCTAACATGTGCAGAGTATCATTATAGCGTGTAATGGTTTTGAGATTCCTGGTTGCGTGAAATATACTTGTGAGAATATCTTTTTGAGATTTTAGTAGCCACGTTTTGTTTGTAGTTTATATGTTATTACTTTCATGTAATTATCGTAAATAATAGTTATTCAATAATAGATAATTCATCCATATATTCAATAATAAATTTACGAATGACTATAATTTGGATACCTAACAATTGGACAGAATCACTAGCAAGAATAGGTTGTGTTCGCCTTCGAAAATATCGATTCGTTTTTTCAGGGTTGTAGTTTTGGTTTTCATCAGTGGTCCGGCTCTGATTGTGAACGATTTAGGTAGTATTTTTATGTAACTATTTAGCTTTTAGCACAACTTTGCTACTACGAATCCACAAAAGACATTAAATTGGAGGCGGATTCTGGTACGGAATTACAGGCTGCTATTCTGAGCAACTTATCTTCATAAAATTAAAAATTACATTTAGGTATTAATTAGCAAATATGAATAGTAGTTAACTTTAACATAATTTTGATAAAACAATCATTTCATCCAGTTCACTTTAAAACAAACAAGTATGAAAGGAGATTGCTTAGAATAAAGATAAAAGTAATATGCGCAATATTA